GTACAGGCCTGATTTTTTTCAGGTCTGATTTTCGCTATTGCATAAATAGCGCTCTCTACTGCGAGGATCGTGCATCATACGTGTCTACAACCGCAGTTCAAAATATATGAACTTCATATATTCATTGTATATACTATTTTAATTACGCTATATCATATAATTTACAATAAATCACATTCTGATTAAGAATTAAAATATAAACAAGCTAAAAGGCCTGAGATTCATGTTTCTAATCTCTTTCCAGCGTTATTAAAAGATATGATGTCAAATTACTCTTAAAGGATCGAAAGTCCGTGCAGTCCCGCAGATAACTTGGTAATGCATTGAAAATGGCTGCTGAGCTGTCTTGAAAAGTACCCGTTTCGATGGTCACCTTTTATCTGACTTCATAGGACGAGCGTAGATTTTTTTGCTGGTACGTATTGTTCGAGTTTTAAGTACTGTGGCCAATAGTCATAATATAGTGCTTTACAACCACTGTAATCAACATCATGCTGCATAGCAGTTGCATCTGTCTTTCCAATAGGTTTATCATATATTTCTAATATTTCACAGGTTTTAGGATTATTTTGACTTGATTTTTAAGATCGTTATAAGGTCCTGTGTATTTATGACCTGGAAGAGTCCAACCACCTTTCGGTTTTGGTAGCTTTATGAATATCCAGAGAACCGCCTTTGTAAAGTGGATTAGTTGGATCATTCACACCAGAAGGAGCATACATCTCCATTGGATACCATTGTAAATAATCAATGTTGCCTCCCCTTATCTTTTTACTCAAATCATCGGTGAAGCTGTCAAGAGCTTGATCGAGATATTTTTTTGCTGTCTGTTTGACTTTATTCTTAGCATAATCTGATTTGATAGCTTTTGCAGCACCTTTTCGAGCAAGATAAGCTCCACTGTTGGCTAATCCTTTGAGAACCATTTCACCCATTGAATGACCGTTACCTACATCAAATAATGCTCCACTCGACTTGTTCATTTCACAAACTTTGTTTTCGTTATCCCACATTCCAAACAAATACATTTGAACATCAGTTTTCCGGTTTTGGTTGTTTCATATCTTTCACTACCTTTCACACAATCAGTGATTTTTTTCTGCTTAACACAATAAGATTTCATATATAAAATACGTTAGATATTTTAAAAATAATCAGCTATGGATTTCTCAATTTTTCATTGTATCATGTAAATCAAACACTTGCAGAAGATCAAGATATGATTTGCCTTTGTTCATCTCATTCAAGAAATACAGACAAAAGTATCCACAAGTTGATGTTTTAATGTTTTGAATTTGATTGTTTTGATGTAATAAAGTGATATTCTTCTTTTTAGCATGATCAGCCATTTCTTGAAACGGTGGCATTCCAAATAAATCGAAGTAATTGATGAACATTATCCTCAACGAAGGTTGTTACCCAATGACTGCCTGCCATGTATGTTGGTTCAAGATTGTAAATAAATAAGGCTTGTTTATGGTTGTGAGGAACTGATTCATTTCTGCTTAGAACGTTGTTGATTCGTATCTTGAGATATTTACACCATTTAATTAGATCAAAGTTTTTTTTAAAGGGATTGTTTTATGGATTGTGGTCTTACAGAATGGCTCCGATTAATGGAATTGAGTTGCACGGGCTGTTTTTTTCCTAGGAGTAACCCTTTGCCTTTTTTTCTTTGGAGCTTTTTTTTCCCTTTTTTCTTTGGAGCTTTATTTTTTACTTTTACCATAGATTCGACCATCTGGCCAACTACCGATAAATGGAGGTGGACGTCTGTAAATACCTAATCTTGGAGCTTGTGATTTGCTTGATTTTGCTGTTCCCATCCGTGGGACTGATCCACCGGAAACTAAATTCTTGACTAAATCAATAACCATTGGAATACCGGTCGATGCTAAGACTCCACCCGTCTGTTTTTTTGTCGGTTTGATATGAACGCCTTGTCCCCTTTGTAAAGCATTGAGAATGTCCTTTTTCTGTTTTTCAGTCAAGAGATGTTTGTATTGAATAAGCTGATTTATTTTGGCTTGTGGTATGAGAAAACCACCTTTCTGTCCCCCACCAGAAATCTTTTTAACAACCTGAGAGGCACCCTCTGAAGCCTATCCAGCCAAAGCAGAAAGACCCAGTGTTTTTCCGATAGTTAGTTACAGAGGTTTTGCCACACTAAGAATTGATGTCAGAAGGCTGCCTCCAACTTGGTTACTGATGTTTGATTTCATCAACCGTCTAGCAACTGTCTCTGGAACTAAGAGGGTATCATTGCCACTCAAAGCGTTCGAGGCCAATCTTAATGTGATTTACTCTCTGTTACGATAAGCTTTACCGAGATTCTTCTTTTGATTTGGTGATAGTTTAACGTTGATATCGAATAACTGCGTCATTTCTTATATATATTATACGTTATACAATTTTTAAAATCATAAAACGTATTTAATTAATGATTTTTCAT